TACCAAAAAGAAAAAAAAAATCAATTTTAATATCATGATAAAAACCTTTGATGTGGTCGAAGGAAACGAACAAGCACTGGGTCCACTACTATCTGCATCATATTAGCAGCCCCATCCTCAAATTCTTCAGGTTGCCACAAGACCAAAGGATCAATTCCGGGTGGCAGAGTCACACTCTCTTCCACTATATCTTTCTCAGCCTCGTTTGGTATATTCAAAATCCTATCAATGTTTGGAACGAATGCTGTACTTGATGAGCCCCAGGGAACAAATCGTTTACGTGCATAGAGACGACGAGCAAGCTGGTCATTTCCGTCATCATAGCCATTAGAGCATGGTGGTTTAAAGGGTTTCCTACAAACTGTTGCTCCTTCTGTCACTGAGAGAACTCGTGGAAGCAGTGACTGTCTTTTCACGACAAGGTTACCTCTGACATAAAATCATTGCCACAAATTTCAGTTGAAGCACGAAATTTGGATTTAAAAAGCCCCTATACCAACAATTCCAATTACGAATGAGCCAATTGACCGCCAGGACCTAGAGAGATTCCAATTTACATAAATTATTGCACAATGAAAAACCTTAAATTGAACCCTCAGCGTTTTTCATTGTTAATTGAGAACTCAGATGCGAAGAACCTTAACATCTAGTAAGAGTAATAGCACCAAACAGCTTAGTCGCACAATATCATTTCTTTAGCCCCGTTATATACCAAAAAACAAAAAAGCAACATCATTTCTTAGAAAACAAACCAATCAGAACCCTATGATCCAAATAATTGGTTTTATTTCATTCTCCATCATTTTCTCAATAACCAAACAGGAAGGCAACCCCATAAAATCTCAATTAGTAAAAGAAATGAATGGTCAAAGCACACATAAAAGGCAATTTCACACCACATAAAAAGAACAAACCCTAGGTGCGGTGCAGCTGTAGAAATTCAAAAATGCTAAGCTAAATTCTCCAACCAAAAAGAAATTGGAAATAAAAATCAAAGGCACCTGACGAGAGCGTCGACATTCTTCGATTTCTGATCCTCGCCGGAGGGCTGAGGAGGGTCTATGGATTTTCGATTGTTCCCCAAGACGTCGTCACTTTCTTCTCGCTCTAGCTCTAGCTCTTCTTGGTCGGCCGCGTATTCATCGCTGGAATCGGACGCATCTGAGATGTCGGATTCTGAGAGAACTTCGTATTCGTCCTCCATCTCTGTGACCGACTGAGTGTGTGAGCGAGTTAGAGGAGACTCGGCGAAAATGGTCTATTTAAATTCATCCGTTTTGGCGGTAAAAGTTTGGGCTGGTGGTGGGAATGGTGGCTGGTGTGAGTCAGTGAGTGATGGGCAATGGATTTGAAGTGACAATTTTACCCCTAAAATGTAATAGAGAACTTAACAAATTTAACAGCATGACCGACACTGTTAAGGAAAGTGGAATGGAGAGAATCACTTTTGAGAATAAGCATCTCCTATGTGCTTCTTCAGAAAATCACTTAGGTTATTTGGAGAAGTGATTTTCTATAAAAGTGACTATTGACCTCTCCAGAATTACTTGCAAACAACATTAGCCATTTTTCTAATTCGAAAACCAAAATACAAATATGGCCTTAATTCAACACTATGGTAAAACGAATGAATTTAAATAGACACTAGTGCAGAAGTATTAAAAAAAATATCTAGTAAGAGTTTTGTGGTGTATTTGTCTTCTTCTTAACAAATTTATTTTTAAAAAAATTGAAATATTAGACAAAAGATTATCAACTCCTCCATAAAAAACTTACAAGTTAATAGACAAGATTTTAATTTTTGATTCCTTATACATTAAGAATCAATAATTCAAAGACCAAGTGTAAAATAATAATCTAAATTCAAATGAATAATGGAAAATAGTATCGCATTACAAAAAAGCCACAAAATTTAAATTGGAGTTAATTAAAAATGTTTTGTTATAAATCAAATTATATGATGTTATCATGAAACGTAATTAATTTCTTATTTTTCATATTCATAATGTAAAGTTAGTTTAATTAGGTAACTATTGGAATTGAAGTCCAAAGGGACTCCATGGCCCAATGGATAAGGCGCTGGTCTACGAAACCAGAGATTCTGGGTTCGATCCCCAGTGGAGTCGTGTAAATCATTTTATTTTAATTTCCTTTTTCTGGCCTAATTACTACGTAATTGTTTCTAGAAGCTATTGCTCCAGATATATTTATTTATTTAATTTTTTTGTGTGCAGAGGAAGATAACCTCTTTGAATTATCGCCACTGGGATTATATTTTACAATTGACTTTTGAGCTTAGAAACTAATAACAATTGCTTTAATTGTTAAATAATTAAAATGATTATTTAGGAGATTATAAGAAGGTGCTGAAGTACTTCCAAGAATGAACTAACCCAACAATTTCCCACCAAATTCCAATTTGCGAATTTTAGTGAGCAATAATCTATGGTCGAGCCTCACATTCCACGCATAATTAAATTAATTCACTTAGGATGTGATAATTGAAGTTCAATTATTAAGAGTATATTGTCTCACGTCGAAAAATGAAAACCGTATATAAAAATTTGAAATGATTCACTCCTTCTATGATGGTATAAGAACACATGTTACTTTTATGTTGATGAATCCAACGACCACACGTACGTTGCAATGTCTAGTGAACTTGATTAAGATTATGTAAGAGGTCATGGTAAACTTCAATATTCTCTTTTTTTCCAAACATAGTTTGAAGATGGAAAAGCCAAAAACTGTCATTTTCAATATCTTTTCATGGAAGACATCAACTTGTATTGCAACATCATCTTTGAATTCAAATTGGCATTTTTTTTGGCTTTGTTCTATTTCTTGTTTTTCTTGTATTGACCGGTTGAGCAAGTCACTTGTGCGCTGGACTGTAAAATTTTCCACACAACCAAACACAAGTCAATGGATTGGACGAAAGGTGCCTTTGGGGTAATGTTAATTTGCATTTTTTGCTCTTAAACAATGCTGATTAATTAAGCATTTCAATTAGATTGTTTGAACCGGATGTATAGAAAATATGAGTTTTCGTCTTTAAATAATTTTTTTTTTGTATGCAGCTCATCGTATTATCTTTTCTCTATTAAATCCGATGATTATGATCCAACTAAATAAATTATCTAATCAAACTTAATGTGTTAAATATTATATTTTTAAATTCATAAAATACCCTTAATTACATTTTAATGTTCTCCTTTTTTGGTTGGATTACTTTTTTATTCTCTCAATTTATTGTGTTGATTTTTTTTTTCCAACAAATTATTTGCAATTCAATGCACATTAATGGTGTTCAAATTTCGAGATAATTTTTCCTTTTTTAAAATTAAAATTTTGTGTGTAATGACATATGTTTTAATTTAGTATACCAAAATATCTAAGTAAATTAGTATACCTAGGATATTTTGTATATTTATACCTACAAAGTATAGGTAAACAATATGTACAAGTATAGGTAAATTAATCAGGGTGAAATGATTTACCTATACAACCTAACTAGTTTAGTATACCTACAAATTATAAATAAATTAGTACGATATATATATATATATATATATATATATATATATATATATATATATATATATATATATATATATATATATATATATATATATATATATATATATATATATATATATATATATATATATATATATATATATATATATATATATATATATATATATATATATATATATATATATATATATATATATATATATATATATATATATATATATATATATATATATATATATATATATATATATATATATATATATATATATATATATATATATATATATATATATATATATATATATATATATATATATATATATATATATATATATATATATATATATATATATATATATATATATATATATATATATATATATATATATATATATATATATATATATATATATATATATATATATATATATATATATATATATATATATATATATATATATATATATATATATATATATATATATATATATATATATATATATATATATATATATATATATATATATATATATATATATATATATATATATATATATATATATTAAGTATATTATGATTGTGTTTATGTAGGTGTATTACTATTGTTTGGATATATTGTTAAGAGTTATTTACATTAACACCCTATGAGATTTCTTGTGTTTTCACAAAACCCCCTCATGTCTCAAAAAATACACAAACACCCCATGAGGTTTCAGTTTGTTTTCACAAAACCCCTTTTCGTTGATTGTTTGTCCAAAAATTGATGATTTCATTGAAATAAAAACTTATGCAAATGAAAAAATTAACCTCAATGAAGTATATGCAATAATCTCAAAGGTCAACTTTGTCCTTTGCAGAATTTTTTTTGTATAAAATCATCAATCTTTGGATGAAATATGAATGAAAAGGAGTTTTGTAAAAATAATTTAAAATCTCAAGGGGTGTGAGTGTAATTTCTAAAACCTCAAGGACTTTTGTGAAAGCAGAAAAACTCAAGGGATGTTAGTGTAAATAACTCTATTATTATTGATTTTGTCTATTAGTAATTTACGTTCATTACTAATTAAAGATGGTTACAAAAAATTTACATTGATTAGAGATTTTGATTATGATTCTTACTATCATGAATTGGGATTTGAATGTCAATAAAGTCCTTAAATTAATGTGTTCTGATTACATGAAGTGTAATTAATATAAAGGTGGATAGCATCAATTGTAAAATAGTTAATAATACTAAGAACAAATGACAACATATTTTAAATTTGGGGTTTTTTTTTAATGAAAGTTGACAAATGAGAGTGGGGTTATGTTTAGAATATATGAGTTACATGGGCTTTCTCTTAAGATATTTTTCTGTAAGCCTAGGACCACATGACAATTTCCACCAAATTACACTCCTTCTATAGGGCTATTATATATACTAAGGAGGACTTGAGCCACTAAAACAAATTAGCCACAAATAATGTATCCTACAGCACCTCCTGACGAGGAGAAATATGCAGCTGATCATAATAATCACCAAAACATTGCAAATCCTGTCCCAGTTCCAGGGCTGAACAATCCTAGTGTATTACGAACGTACACTCCTCCCCCGTACGCATACAATACGCAGCCTGCTGGTCATGTAAGGGGGACCTGGTCCACTGGTCTTTGCCATTGTTGTGATGATCCTGCAAATTGTTAGTGAACATATTACATACACTTCAGCCATGTACAAAGTTTCATTTTCTTTTCTTTTTCCCTAATAACTAGTTTCAATTTCAATGTTTGAAGGTATGATCACTGCCTGTTGCCCTTGCATCACGTTCGGCCAGATAGCTGAGATTGTGAGCCAAGGCTCCACATGTAAGCCCTGAAATCACTAGCCATGTTGCTACTTGTACATCTTGATGAATAGTTTGTTTAATTTTTTTGTTTTCTGGTGTGTGTGTGTGTGTGTGTTTTTTTGCAGCTTGTGCTTCACAGGGAGTGTGCTATGGGGTTCTTCTAGCAACAACTGCAAATGCATGCTTGTATTCGTGCTTCTACCGCTCGCGGTTGAGAGGCCAATATGACTTGGAAGAAGCTCCTTGTGTGGACTGCCTGGTGCACTTCTGCTGTGCTACTTGTGCACTATGTCAAGAGTACAGAGAGCTCAGAAATCGCGGTTTCGATATGGGGATAGGTAAACCAATACCTTCTTTGTTCAAGTAAGACTAGCAGTTTTACCCTTTTGTTGAACCTCCTAAGAATCTCACACTGAACTTGAAGTTTCCCCCAGTTTTTTTATATGCAAAATCTAATATATGTTCTGGTGTTTGAGAAACTAATGTTTTTTTCCCATTTTTTTTAAATACAATTTGAGCAAGGTCATTCGGTGTGGTTATAACTATACTTGGTGACCAATTTAACCTGACTGGTGTCATTTGGTGTGGTCTTAGCCTGGTTAATTTATTGGCTGTAGTGGGAAAGGCATAAAGAAACTGCAATCTTGCCAAGGCCACCATGGCTGTGAAATCTTGGCTCCAGAGACGATTAATTATTGTTCAGGTTGCTGATGGTTGGGGCACATAATATTAATTTTCAGCAGTGAAAATATCTTCCTCCAGGACAATTTTTTTATAAAAAAAACTAGAAACTTTATTTATGTAACTCAGCTGCTACTTGCAACCAGATATATAAAGATAAGATCAAATTCCAGCAGAATATGTCATCATAAACTGTACTTATATTATACGAACATGTTGCGTGGTTGCATTCAGTTTTATATTTCAGCTTTAACTTAACTCTGTTAATTCTCCAATTTATTAATCGTCTGGTGCATTTGGTTGCGATTGTTTGCTTGGAATTGAAGGTTGGGAAGCCAATATGGACCGACGAAGGCGCGGAGTTACTGCAGCTCCGACTGTGGTTCCAGGGATGACCAGATAAAAGAGTATTCTGTGGCGCCATTTCTTTGTGTCAAGGGTGCTGCTGATGTTGCTGTGCTGCTACTTGCACACTTTCGTTATGTTATGAACTTTTTGTGTGCATGTTCTTTGAGGCTGGTTTTGAGTGCTTACCCATGTGTTCTTTATGTGATTTTATAATAAAATTCTTCATGTTGAGTTCAAACTAGTCTCATTTTACACCACATCAATGGTTAGTGAGATACACAACTAGTTAAGCCATAATAACTATATTTCATTACCCTTTGCACTCTTCAAACATGGCCATCTTCAATTTACACAAAGGGATCTCAAGAGGAAAATCTAGTGAATTTAGGGGGCATTCAACCTCCTCGATATTGATATTTATATAGCTACTTTTACAACGGGCTAAGCCAAATCTAGATATATCAAATTCATTACAAATATGTATCATCCTTGTGTTCACGTAGATCAAATATGAGACCTCCTCCAACCAACCAAGTGGAGTCAACTACCACTAGACCAAAAGCGTGCAATGCATCTTCCCACACGGCACCCAATCTCTGCACCAACCCATTTCATCTTTTTAGCTTAAGAGAAAAAAAAAATTTATTGAACAAGAAATACTACGAAAATAAGATTTTGGAGGATTTCCCATCGGAAAAATGTTCAAAACCAAGCTCTATAACATGAACACCATGGCCAATGTCAACCAAGCTCCAACCAAACCACCTGCAAGAATCTCCATATTTAAGTCTCCTTCTGAACGCTCTCTTAGTCTGTCATATCTAATTTGTTTTTGTTTTTATCTGCATCAATTGTAGTCTGCAAGGAAAGATCAGCAAAATTGTACTTAACCTCTGGCAATCATCGACCTTGGGATATATCACAATTGACTTTTGAGCTTAATTACCTACCAAAAACTAATAATAAACCATTCACAGTCTCAACTTTTAGCATACTTAATTATGATAACACAAAAATGACGTTGAAGGATGATGATAGATAACCATGATCAGATATTGCCACTTGCTTTCATTTTTAATTTTATTATAGGCAGGTAGTAGTGAAGACAACAACAAAACAAATGATTAAGGGTGCACAATAGTCTCAAGTTCACACTTGGATATAAACTAATTAGCGAATTTCTCTACCACACGACGAAGTATGACATACGACCACTTCTAAACCGTTAGATCGACTTAATTTCCCCTAATTCATTTAGGATGAAAAAAAGCTAAATGTGAAACCATATAGGCAAGGAAGAGTGGTTGAAGAAGGACCTAAAAATTAGAGACAATAGGGCTTACAAGTCTCAAGCATGTTTTCATATCCCAGTTAGGTAGTTGGAAGATGACAAAACAAAAACATGTCATCATTTTTCATATCTATTCATTGGCATTGGCAAAGGTCAACTTATATTTCAACCACCAACTAGTCCTCTGTTTCCTAGTCACTTGGCTCCCATGAAGATTCTAAACTTCTTAGGATTGGACAAAGATTGCCTTTGGGGGACTTCATTTGCATTTTTTCTTTTGTGAAGAGAATGACGTCAATGTATTATAATGAAGAGGAAGTAACTGATACAAAGAAGAAACTAAGGTTTAGAGGATTAAGCGAGCCTCTTTACACGTGAGAGTTCTCGTCGATCTAACTAAGTAGCTTACTCTCCTTTGCATTTTTGTTTTTCAATGTCATGTTTACAATTTTTATTTTTATTTTTTTTAAAAGGCCAATACCAAATACGTTGCCCTTCCTATCTTCAAATTCATATAAAATTTGATTATTTGGTTGAAACCATTTTTCCTTCGAATGGGCTTAAAATTTGACCCGAACCGACCCGACTCTTCCAATGGGCTTAAAATGGCCCCAGGGAACAAGACCTGGGCCTTGCATACTTCAAGTCAGAACCTCAGTGGATCAAACCCAAACACTAAAACATCATAAGGATGCAGCGCAAGACCATTTTAGGGTTTTAGCTAAAATCTCTCTCAGAGCTCAGAAATGGCGTCTCTCATGGCGATTCGACGCGCGCGAAGCCCAGCACTGTCTCCCTTCTTCAAGGTACGGCCTCTGCACCTTTCTCATTTTGCCTTCTCTCACGGCAGCAACACCATCATCAACTTAGAAACCCTAACCATAGCCAAAACCCTAAGCACCTCTGCGGTCCCAAACGAGTACCAGAGGCCCCCTCCGCAACAGCAGCCTCAGCCGTCTGATCCTAGGGCTTTCGATGACCAGGAAAACCCTAACCAGTGGGCCCCACAAGGCCAGGGATACGGGAACTCTAACCAGTGGAATCCACAGACCCAGAACCAGAGGCCTAACAATCAGTACAATTATCAGGGTCAGAATCAGAGCTACCCGGGTCGTGGATATCCTAACCAAGCTCCGAACTTTCCCAATCGCGGGTATCCTAACCAGAATAACCAGAACCAGAGCTACCCACAAGGTGGAAACTCGAATGAATGGAGCCCTCAGGCGCAGAGCCCTCCTCAGTATCAAAACCCTAACCAGGGGAACCCTCCTCCGAGCCCCAGTTTTCAGCAACCCAGAAGCCCAAATCAGTGGAACAATCCCAATCAAGGATACCAGCAAGCCAGAAACCCTAATCAGTGGAGCCCACAAGCTCAAAACCCTGCTCAGTGGAGCAACAACAACAACAACAACAACAACAATCAGGCTGTGAACCAAACCCCGGTAGTTGTACCCCCTTCAATTGACGATTTGAGGAGGTTGTGCCAAGAGGGGAAGGCTAAGGAAGCTCTTGAATTGATGGATAAAGAAGGGGTTAAGGCCGATGCTGATTGCTTTCAGTCTTTGTTTGAGTTGTGTGGGAGATTGAAGTCGATTGAGGATGCGAAAAAGGCTCATGACTTCTTTTTGCAGTCTACATGTAGGGGTAATCGTGAGTTGAATCATAAAATTATTGAAATGTATGGAAAGTGTGCGAGCATGACTGATGCCCGGAGGGTGTTCGATCATATGCTTGACAAGAATATTGATTCTTGGCATTTGATGATTAATGGGTATGCGGATAATGGCTTAGGAGATGATGGGTTGCAGATGTTTGAGGTAATGAGGGAGCAGGGGTTGAAACCAAATTCTGAAACTTTCATTGCAGTATTCTTGGCCTGTGCTAGTGCAGATGCTGTGGAAGAAGCATTTATACATTTTGAGTCGATGAAAAATGAGTATGGAATTCCTCCGGGAGTGGAGCATTATTTGGGTGTTCTAGATGTGCTTGGAAAATGCGGTCATCTAAATGAAGCAGTTGATTATATTGAGAAACTCCCATTTGAGCCTACAGTGGCGGTGTGGGAGGCATTGAGGAATTATGCTCAGATTCATGGAGATATTGATCTTGAAGATCATGCTGAGGAGTTGATGGTTGCTCTTGACCCATCAAAGGCTGTTGTGAAAAAGATCCCGACTCCACCACCCAAAAAGCGCAGTGCTATTAGCATGCTTGACGGGAAGAACAGAATCAGCGAGTTTAAAAATCCAACCCTCTACAAGGATGATGAGAAGTTGAAGGCTCTTAGTGGGATGAAAGAAGGAGGTTATGTGCCAGACACAAGATATGTTCTTCATGACATTGATCAGGAGGCTAAGGAGCAGGCCTTGCTCTATCACAGTGAGCGTTTGGCGATCGCATACGGTCTGATTAGTACTCCAGCAAGGACGCCTCTTAGGATCATCAAGAACCTCCGCGTCTGTGGTGACTGCCACAATGCCATTAAGATCATGTCCAAGATTGTTGGAAGGGAATTGATTGTTAGGGACAACAAACGATTTCATCATTTTAAGGATGGAAAATGCTCTTGTGGGGATTATTGGTGAAGAGCAAAATGTCACCTCTCAGACTTGTCTAAAGAGTTCTTCCCAGTTGCAGTTTGGCGTGTAAAAAGTTTAAACAATGCCGAGCTGTATACGGGATCCTGTGCAGATGAGCACCAGTGCTACTAGTTGGTAGGAGATGAACCATCCACTTCTTGTTTTGACATGTATGCCGAGCTATATATGCATTATCTTTGTTTCGATATTGAATCAATTAGTTGTCGAAATGCCAATCCTGGTGTCAAGAAGCTATTAGAGAAAACTTGTTTCTAAACATAAAATGATTGTCTCTCTCTCTAGTTTTATGGTGCAAAGATGACATCCCGTTTTGGTATTTAGGTAACAATTTGCCATGAACTCTGGTAGTAATAGTTTAATGGACCCCAGTTTAATTATATTGATTGAAGTTCTGAAGTGGGATTATGACATTTGACCAAAAACAAATGAGGGATTATGGCATGCTGGATTTTGTTATTATTAGCATCTTCTTTTTTGTTTTGTGAATGGAATGTGCTGATTGATTTGTATCATATGTTTTCACCGAAAACTCTAGAAAAGCAGTGCTAAGGCCAGTGATCTACGAGCACGTAGGTTGATCCTGGTCGTTGATGCTTTGGGGTCTAAATGCATCGACCAGCAGGATGAGCCCGCATGCGTGCACAATTGATCTTAACAACTCTGGAATTATAAAACACTGGTGTGATTGGAGTGTTCAAGCCCTATGAGTTATTATGCCAAAACGACCCAGTGGATGAAGCAAAGCCTGGTAGTCTAGGAAGCTCTAGCTCCAAATCATAGGTTTAAAATAAACAAAAGACAAAAGGAATAAAGTACAATAAAGCACTCACATGCCACATTATGCTATTACCATTTGCCATGCATATGGCAACTTATACAGTAAATTGCTTCACATGGATTAACAATAAACACACATAAACGCAAACACAAATTAGGTCTCTAATTCTCTAAGCATGTTTCATGGACCGAGTCATCATGGTCATGAACTCATCTATGTCAACAACGCCATCCCCATCAGTGTCCACTGCCCGTACCATTCTCTGGCAGTCTTCAAGGCTGCAACTCTCCCCCAACCTCTCCAGCACTTCCATGACTTCTTCAGCACTTATTTTTCCATCTCCGTTCAAATCAAACGTCCGAAAAGCATTCTGAATGTCTATTGTTCGAATCCCACCTCCCTTCTTGTGTACTTCCATAAACTCCTTGAAATTAATAAACCCATCCCCGTCCAAATCGGCAACCCTAAAAATCTTGCGGACTTCTCCAACCATGTTTCCCTTTCCTAGTGCTCTCAAGATGGCCTTGTAGTCCTGCTGAGATATCTTCCCATCTTTGTTGGAGTCAAATTTTTCAAACACTCTCTTCATTTCATCGGGATTTGGCTCAAAAGAAGGAGATAAGCCAGAGTTTTGCCTGTCTCGGAAGGAAAATACATGTGATGGTTTTCGCAAAAACTTCCGTTTCGAGAGGTTATACTGGAAATCGAGGAAGTTTGCATTCGACATATCCGCCTCAGCTGATCAGAGCAAATACCTAAATCAAACTTCGATATAACAGTCCAGACAGCCGTCAAAATGAGATGGCAGAAACTGGGTGTCTTCAATCTTTATATATACTGACGGATAAACATTTGAGATTCTAAAGTCAAGGGCTAAAACAATTTTATTCCTTCAACAAGTTGTGGCAATTCATGAACAGAAGGTTCTTTACGTGATAGCCGAAATAAAAACAAATAGTAGATAAGATAAGAATACATTCTTTGCAAAAGCTACAAGAAACTACAGCCTCCTTTCTCATCCTCAAAATTCTCCTTTTGAAGACTTGCTTTCTTTTTATTATTATTAAAAAGAAAAAAGTATTCAAAGGAGGGGTAAACATAACTCATCAAAATAATTGTAAAATATCACCAATATACAAAAAATTATACAAAAAATTACTCTTTTTTTTTAGTTCACGGTGGTCTTCCATTATCCAAATCCTCCATTACTTCAATGTCTTTGCGAGCTGTTATCTTTTGTACATATCCTGCAATGATGAATATCTTGTGTAAAAATTCTAGGGTTGAAATTCAAAACTGCAAGGGGTTCGAACTCACATAAAATTAGTAAAAATGAAATCTAAGAAGGAAAAGCCCCTAGACTTGAAGGTATACATTAAACACAAAAAGATAACACAAAAAAATGATGGCCCGAAGGAATCAGTAAAGTTTCCTTTTCGAGCTTTGAACAATCTTTTATGTCCTTTAAGCATCCTACACAAAACTATTCCTGTATAAAGTAAATGAGTTAACGGAACTTCCACAACATCAAATATTCTCATGCATCTCCCCTTTTAGTGTACAACAAATGATAGTGCTGAACTGCTCGCTAACATTGTCCTTGGTCTTAGTTTTAGCACTAAAACACCAACCAAGAGAAAAGAAAATTCGCAGACCTTGGTAGTGCCAGAGTTAAGACAAATAATGACAATGGGGAAATAGGGAAAAAGATTTATAAAAAAAAAGAAAAAAAAAGAGGGTAGAGACATTCTTATGTTAGTTAATCTAATTCAATACAGTTTGAGAGAATACAAAATCTCATTTACCCAAAATGAGAACTTAACTTAAAGGAGACGTTCTAACAAGAGCCTAAGTTGAGGCTGCACTTCAAAACTTATACCTCAACTGTGAGATTATATATGTGGTGTCTGAAAGTAGATGATGGTAGGCAAGATGCAGCCATTTGACATGTTACATTTGACATGTTAACGTACCTAAAAGTCTCCAATCAATACAACTCATGAAAATACAAGAAATCCTCAGTCCAGCCACCAAGTGCCATAGAAAGATATTCAGAAGGTTTAGTCATCATGTCTCAAATCCTATTGAATCTAGTCAAACATGAGATTGGTATGAATTGCGTACATCAGAAAAGAAACATCTTATTAGTAAATTAGATAAATAGTCCTCTTTTTGAAAGGTGATAAGCTTGGACATCCAAACTATTTCTTACCATCTCCAGATCTCGGAGTTTCACATGTCTAGACCATTTAAATACATTAGATAGTAATGAAATCCATATAATTCTAAATTGGTTTATAATGTACTTTCACAACTTAGCTGAGGCTACCTCCCTCCCTCTCTCTACCTCTCTGCCTACTGGCCTCAGTAAATGACAGATATGACAGACAAACTCCATAAATTCTTGACACATTATACACATTTAGAAAGCCAAATGGCAAAATGTACAACCTAAAATTTTATAGATGCATGCAAAGAAATCAAGAAATTCCAGATGCCCCAAAATATGTCTTGAAGGATTTTTCCCGAGTACAAAGGCCTTTCTTTCCCTCATTTATCTACATCAGAGAATTCAAACAATTACTTTCATAAAGCTATATATGCCGAAGATGTGTACTAAGCAAGTTGAGTTAGGCAGCCAAGTCTACTATTTCAAACATAAGGTTACTACTCTCTAGAACGGGAAACTTTGATATATCCCGCAATCCACAAAACAGACTCAGGCATATAAATGCGTAGGCAAGGGGGGTACTTATCCACCATTCATATAATCATTTTCTCAACTTGATAAAATTCCTAAGATTTGAACAGTATGAGCACACACACAGACACACCCATGTGACTAACAAAGGCCAAATAAATACCACACCAGAAAATTCCAATCACAACCCAAAATGGGAAAGCATAAACTTTAACATATAGCTGAGTTGAACCAAGCAAGGTAAACTAAACCCATCTTTTCCAAGCTTCGAATTGACAAAGCCCAAAATGAGCTCAAAAAACTTAATAAAACAGAACAGCATACTAATTCCTTGGCAAGGTAGGCATTTGCAGACAGTTTCTCTTCCTCTTTTGTTGTAATAACTGACAAATCCTGAGCCTTGGCAACTCCTACACTTTCCTGTCCATTCATATACAACTTCCTTGCAATCCTACAAAATTTCCCAAAACTTTCAAGATTTTTGAATGACTTATCCACATATAATTTTACAAATAACACCCAAATTAAAACCGAATTTGCAATTCTGACCTCAACTATAGGATCACATCGGAGCCTCCGGTCAATCTCCTCGGGTGACACCGGCGAAGTATTGGGATATGTCATCGGAAGAGGGAGGGGGTCGCCGTTGTCAGTCAAATAGCTCTCTCTGTCACGCGACCACTTCCTCTCCATGGCATTCACCTTAACACCACCACTGCCACTGCTGCTACCGCCGCCGCGAAGCCGAGCAGCGCCGCTGTCGAGCTCGGCGTCCTGGCCAATTCGGACGCCGACGGCGGCCACGTCAGCAGAGGCGGAGGGGAATTGAATTAAGCGCGGGAATGCGGGCCCGTGAGGGAGGTCGCCGGTGGCCGCGCGGCAGCGGAGGCGGGTTAAGGAGGGTTTGGAGGAGGAGAAGAAGAGGCTAGGGTTAGTAGCCAACATTCCAAGAAATGTTGAGGAGCGAAAGACTGAAAGACTGAAACTTTTAAGAGAGAGAGAGAGAGAGAGAGAAGGCGAGAAATGAATTTATATAGATTGCGGGTGTGGCGCGCGCGCGGCAACAGCGAGCTAAAAGGAGAATTTATATAGATTGCGGGTCTCTGCTATCTGTGTGTGTTTTGTCAAGTGGACGTTGGCAATTCGTTATAAAAGCGTCCAATCAAGGAATTTGTACGACAATATCTGCCTCAAAGATACGTGTAGTGTTATTTTTAGTTAGCTTTGAGACACATTAACATTAGGGACCAATTTTCTTACATTTTAAGTTTGGAATTAAACACTTGTCTTGTCTAACATGCTACGAGAGCTCTGTTTCTACTTAGTATTTATCCTGTTAAGCAAACCTGTTGGAGTTGCTGCTTCTATACTATTTGCATCTACTTGTCTTTTTATGCGCAAAATCAAGTTAAGTTTTTAAGATTCAGTGATTGTCCAACATGTTATCCATTGAGAGGCAGGATTGCTCTCTTAGCAAGTTCGTTGTTTATCGATCCATTTTACATTTCAATCAAAACCCGAATTAATGTTGCGGTTAAGAGCGTTCAGGCCAATGAACGAGAAGATCAGCACAATAAAAAAAAATACAACAATAATAATCAGCACAAAACAAGTCCCATTCTCAAAATGGTAGAACCTATTGCGATCCCTCACAACTTGATCATTGAGTGGCAGTCACCTCTGCTCTCGGTTGAAGTTAAAAGATGGAAATCATGGTGTTTGAATGAACATTAGATGGGTTTTTTTTTTTTTTTTGGGGAGATCCTTGGCAACTCTAACATCAATTTATATAATTTTCCTTAGATCCCTACCTGCATTGTCTCTATCTAAATCTTGACTTATGCTAAGATTCGTGATCTCAATGCAACCGTTTCAAATTACAAATAACTTTTGGTGTCAAAATATGCCTCAAACAGACCTAGTCCCAAAGAAGCAAACATCTAAGGGAAACAAAGCTTAAATGTAAAAAAATCGAAAGACACACTCCGGCACGACTGTAAGGTACGTGCCACAGTGGTAACCCATCAGCCTGTAGGGTGTTGATAAAGGAAGAGGGTGGCCATGGAGAGACAACTAGGAGCCCACATCCTCCTGCATTAGAATGTCCATAGTTTACAGAATATACATTACACAAGATCATAGCATTGTGCTATTTGAATTTCATAACATTCTCATTAGCAGTTAAGTAATTTCTGTATGGCATGTTAGTGATGTACATGTTAATTAATCATATTGCATATGCTGCACTTGGTTTGTTTGTTGGTTTTCGAATTATGGGGCTGACATTTGGAGAGAAAAAAAAAAGAGAGAGCCATAAACATGAAGACCTTCCCCAACCAAACTATTACTGAAGCAGGGGTCATAAATTTCTCTGCCATCTCTCCACACCGTGTCGATCCATTCCTGTCATTCGACTCTTACAGTTCTATTCCAGGGATTAAAACTTCCCAGTTACATCCTAGCTGGAGACTGCGATCCACTGTCAAGGTCGTTCTTCAACCTGCAATATTAACCAGCATAAGTTGCAAAGGAACCCTGTTTGTTTTTTTTAGCAGGCTCATTAATCCGAAGATGTTAGAATACATTGAAATCAATTACTTTGGGGATCAAATTAGAAATTAGGGTTGTTATTTCTTACTGAATGTTCTTCTTTTTATCCTGTGGCGTGTGGGGGACATCGCCCTTAACTTTGTTATTCTGAAGGAAACTGTAAACCAAAGCAGGTCAGCAAAATAGTTAGCTGATGCCACAGAATAATGTTATAAAAAAAAACACAGAGAGAGAATGATTTGCTCACATCTCTCTTAGTTTTGGAAGTTTTCTTAATGATGGAGGAATTAGTCCTTCAAGCTGGTTGTTTTCCAAATGCCTTTATCAGATAACAAAAAAGAAAAAAACAGAATTAAAGCATTGCAGAAGAAGTATACATGGATTGCTAAGCATAGAAAAGTATACTGAAGAATGAATGACAGTGATAGAACTTCATATGTAACATACAAACTCTGCAACTCCTTCAATGAGCCCATTTCTGGAATGTTGCCTGAAAGTTTGTTTCCCCCAAGCCAACTATAAGGAAATAATTCCATCAAAAGCGCCATTTAGTAAGTGATCGCGAAAAGAGAAGCTGGTGAACAATGGTTGGTAGCATAACTAGCAAGTGCAAGATTACTTACATATGGCGTAGAGCAGTCAAATTTGCTATGTTTGGTGCCAGTGACCCAGATAGCCCAATGCCAGTTAGATTCCTTCACAGAATATGAAAACATTTCGACTGCCAATCAAAATTTTAATCCCCTAGCATAAATCATTATCTAGGAAACATCTTGTAAGCATATTATGTATGCCTCATGAGATTCAGGGCCAAAAATTTAGTCATGTCACATATCCTTGTGGACTTACAAAGCTGTTACTCGATACTGCTTTCCAGGAGAACATGTAACACCAGTCCATGAATTCTCTCCTGGCAGGCAAGGATCGCCACTCCAATCGGGAGGTGGATTGTCGAAATATCTTCTCAAC